CGCTGTGATCCCAGTGTACTCGCTGTAATTCCAGTATCCTTGCTGCGATCCCAGTATACTCTCTGCGATCCCAGTATCCTCGCTGTGATCCCAGTATACTCTCTGCGATCCCAGTATCCTCGCTGTGATCCCAGTATACTCTCTGTGATCCCAGTATCCTCGCTGTGATCCCAGTATACTCGCTGTGATCCCAGTATATTCGCTGTGATGGACGTGAAACTTTGCCCATAAAACAACGAGGTCCATTATATCTCTGCTGGTGCTGTTAGTTTGTTCAGGCTCAGTTTGAAGAGCAAATAAAACATTTTTCCAAAATAAAACAAAACCTTTAGAAGATTTTCTGCAACAGAAGCTTCACAGATTCGACCAAAAGTTCTGAACAAAAGTGCAAAAACCAAAACGTGCGACAGATTCTGGGCGACTCTTCCAGAAACTCCAGCTCACATCAGCGTCTGCTTCAATCCAGCTTTGAGCTCATTTTCACATCAATTCTATCAACGAGTTTAAAGAAACTTCTTGAACTTTGTTGGTAATCAGATGCTTATCAGGTCGCTGCAGGTTTCATCCACCAAACGGCTCCAAACACAAACTGCATCTAGTCACGTGCTCGTGTTTCTCTGAAATAAAGATCCAATAGATTTGTTTTTATTTTTAGAGCAACAAGAAAAAAATTGTTTTCCCAGTGGGAGTGTGTCACAGAGAGAACAGGACAGATGTTGAGTCTGAACTGTTGCTGATATTTAAATACGCTGTGACATCATCTCCTGGAGCGACAGATGATTGATGGAGTTCTTCACAGAGAGCAGCTCAGCGTCTGTGTGGAACAGCTGATTTACCAACATCATCATATTATCAAACCAATATTCAGAAAAACAGATTTCCTCTTGGACAAATATCCTGTTATTCCATATAAAATAACTGTGAGGCTCAAACTGTGTTTGTAGATGAGAGTCTGTGACGAGGAAGCCTGGTGATGAGAGGCCGACGTGTTCACAGGGATTTTATCCACAAAGTTACACACGAGAAAAACTCGATGCAGCGACTCAGAGAGAAAATGAACAGGTGTAGCGCTCAGGATGGAGGCGGGGCTTCTGATCAGCTGTTTGAGCCAGTTTATCTTAAATGTGCTGTTTAAAGTGTGGAAATCTGAAACATTAAGTCCACCGTTTACATCGAGTTCATAAGAACTGTTTTTCTAATGTGACGTCTTCTGTTTGTCCTCATGAAGCTGAAGAGCAGCCTGTCAGTGTCTTTGATAGTTTATTATGGAGGCGTAGAGCCAACGCTGCCTCAGGGACACCAGAGATTCCTGCTTTAGTCAAAACTCTTCCTCTCAGTGAAAGATCTGAATTTGTTTTTAACTCTTTTTGTAGGAGGGATCAAACTTAGATTCATTCTTTTGATCCTCAGTGATTCATATTCTTAAATATGGAAGCTGTTTTTTCATCGAGATATTACAAAGGTCAGATTTGGAGCATCTGTGATGAGTTCACATTTATTAATATTCAGGTAAAATCTGGAAGCTTTGGAGAAACTGTTCACTGCGTCAGCTCAGACTTGACCTTTATTTTTCTAAATGTGTCGTCAGCTGTGCTCCGATTAACTCTCTGCCAGTGACGGAGATCCTTTTACATCACCTGATTTTACAGGTCTGATAAAACACTAACAGGAAGAGGTGCAGAGAGGCGGAGCCGGCTCGTCTTCTTCCTCTATGAAGGTTAAATCTCGGGGATGTAGCAGCCATCAGTTTATTACAGCTGTTACTGTTTTTGTGAAGAGTTTTGACTGATGTAGAGAAATAATTACTGAAACTAAATTAGCTTAAAGATTGAAAGATGAAACGATGCTCCGTGTATCAAAGGCTTTGTTGAAGTCTAAAAACAGGATGAATCATTACTGTTCATCATCTCTGGATAATCCAGATGATCTAAAACTAGTCTGACTCTGTTGTGTGTTTTTGCCTGAAGCCTGATTGTGTTTCATCATAACTGAGTCCAGCATCATCGTTATTCTGCAGCTACAATAAGAGCAGAAACAAACTGGACGCTAACTGTTGATCAATAAATGATCTTTGTCAGGTTTAGTCGGTGTAGTTAACCTCTGAGTCATGGTGGTGGCAGCTGCTCCTTTTCTAACCTTCAGACTTCATAAAGAAAAGGAGACGACTGGTTAGAGACGAGTTTGTGACGTTCAGATGTCAGACCGTCAGTACCTGCTGGATCCACAGCAGCTTCCTGACAGCAGCTCGACTCGCTCGCCGTCTCCCTGCAGCGTCCGCGCACGCGTCAGGTGGTGTCGCTCGCCCTCTCCTCACCTGCTCGCTCCACCTGTTGATCCTCTGAGCTGTTTCCTGTGGTCACTCTCTCTCCTCCTCACTGGCTCCAAAGCGTGAGCTGTAAGGTGTGTGGGCGGGGCATCAAAACAGCTGTCGGCTTCATCTTCCGCCATTTTATAGTTTTTGATGAGCTCACCTCTCCTGGGAGCGCCGCCCAACCAGCCGACCTGGTGACGTAATGAGTGATGTCACGACCACAAATCAGCGAGCAGGAAAATGACTATAAACAAGAATCACTTTGAATCCAACGTTTCTCTCAGAATAAATCACAACGCTCTTAATTTTGTGTCAAAGCTGTAAAATGTGCTGTTTCACGTCCTCTTTAAGTCGACATGTTTCCTCACTTTAACCCAAAAAACTCACAGCGACTAAATCATCAAGTAAAAAACCTTTAATCAACTTTCGCTCGTACAAAATAAATGAGACGAACTGAATTAAAAATACTGACGCTCATCTCCAAAATCATCCACAGTACAGACATAATTACATGATCTCAGCCCTGTGGTATCGTCTAGGCCAACATTCGCCACTTTTCCAATTCGTCTGGTTAAGAAATGATGTAAAAATCGCCATTTAATAAATCAGGACGCAGTAAAGGTTGGTGAAAACCCCGCCAGGATACCGTATTTAGCGCCAACGGGTGGTGTTTGAAAGCCTTCATGTGAGCAGCGAAAAAAACAACATTTTTGGCGGAGTCATTGAACGCTGCATTAGACATCGTGGGTGTGCGTGACATTTAAGAGCTGAGGGAAAAACAGCGCTCTTGGTCGGTCACTGAGCTCGCTTTACCCGGCGCTCAGTGACAGCTGTGAGGCGTTTTCCTAAACTATGCAGGGCCTCCCCGTGTTTCTTATCCACTTTAGTTAAACTCCAATCAAAGAAGAAGGAGCTCAGACACCAACTCATCCCTCAGTCCAGTAAAGTGATCGCTTAAGTTTGCCTATTTGATCACCAGCAGCACTGACTAACAATGGGCTGTGAGGCCGTTCCTCAACTCTCTGTAAATGTTACTCACGGCCACTGATCAATGATCGTGACAGTTTGTGTATTTATGATCACGACACTGACCTCGCCGCCCGTTGTTAGTCGCTGGTGTTAGCATCAATCATTATGCAGATGTCCTGTTTCAACATTGGGGAACCTGCAGTCAGCTGAGGCTGAAGAAGTCATTTAGATGAGTGATGAAACATTTCTCCCACTGAAAAAACGCGACGTCCAGATGAACAGAATCAACTTTTTGGGACTGTTTGTTTCACAAAGACCGTTCTGCGTTTGTTTGGGTCAAAAACGCAGTTTTCCTCCATTCAATGTCTGAAAAAATGCTGTAATCATTTAAAATGCTTTAAAGTTCAGCATAAACTTATGAAAAGTGTGTAATCTTCAGCAGCAGCTCCTCCTTTACAGCAGCATGTAGCAGTTCCGAGCACTAAGCCGAATGAATGGCGCGGTTTCATTCAGCGTTTTAAATGTCGCTCTGTCCGGTTTCAGACGCTAACAATCTGACGTTAAACTAAATCTAAGTCACTAAATCCTGCTGTGGGTAAAAACAACTTTAATCAACTTTCCCTGGTACAAAATAAACGAGACAAACTGAATTAAAAATAATGACGCTTAGCTCCAAAATCATCCTAATTACAGAGATGATCACATCTTGGGCTGTGGCCTCACACATGTAACTCTACATGTTCTTATAAAGAAAATACCTGTGATGATGCACTGAGGCGTTCCTCGTGTCGCTCTCACCTGTAGACTCTGCTCTCATCACAGCATCAGCGACGCTCACAGATCTCTGTGCTACACATCCAATAATATCATTAATGTGAATGTTTAATATTTTTAATGCAAAATCTGATCTGGTCACAGCGCTGAAAAACACCAAAGTGTCCCAGCATGGAGTCAAATTCAAGGTCTGAATTATTGTTTCAGTCCTCTGCTCTTAGTAAATGTAATAAAAATGACAACATGGTTGTAAAATCTTAGAGGAACCTTTTTCACCTTTTTGTCAGGTCACAGCAAAAGAAATTAACTGATTTATCAAAAAGTATTTCTTGCATCGTCATCAATGATGACATGAAGCATTTGCTGGAGCCTGAAATACTGTAAGTAGAACTCCAGATTAGATTAACGTCACATGATCATATTAAACAGAGACACCTCTAGAAAAACCTCAGGACAGTCTGGTGTTTAGTTTCTCACAGGAAGGATTTTGTTGGACTGATGACTCCTGCAGAGTTTCAGAGGATGGAAACTTAAACCCAGAATCAGGATCTGTGTCGGCTGCTCAGGATCCAGCTTAGTGTGTCTGTCTGATCCTGCAGCTCACAGGAAGTTGCTCCACCTACAACAGCATAGATAAACTGTGCAGTGATATCTCTGCAGGCAGGACGTAGATGTGCTAACAGGAGAAAATGAAATTTTTTTTTTCCCAGTGTCTTTTTCTAAAATCTACATTGTTAATGATGACTGGCTTTAAAAATCTTCCACTGAGACAAAAGCAGCCATAAATGTAGATCCTCTATATGTTGATCACGTCTCTGTGTCAGTGTAAGACTTTAGTGCAGTCTCTCTCTCTCTGGTTCACTGCAGTCTTTGTCTCTGTGTTTCTGTCAGGTGTTCACATTTACCAGACGATGTACGGCTGTGAATGGGATGAAGAAACAGATAAAGTGAATGGATATTACCAATTCGGCTATGATGGAGAGGACTTCATAAACTTTGACCTGAAGAAAGAGACGTGGGTCGCTCCTGTACAACAGGCTGACATCACCAAACGGAAGTGGAACAGTGACAGAGCTTTCATCACACAGAAGAAGAACTACCTCACCCAGATTTGTCCTGAGTGGCTGAAGAAGTATGTGAACTATGGGAGGAGCTCTCTGATGAGGACAGGTAAAATCTATGACCAGAATTAGATTGTTAACCAATAGTCATATGTGTCAGTTTATTGCTTACTATGATATTAAATTAATATAATAACACTTTGCATGACATTTAATTGTATAAACTACATCACATCAAAAAGAAATCAGTATGCTTCTAATAATAATAATAATAATAATAATAATCTTCTTTTTAAAGTTGCTCCTGGTCGCCACAGCAGATCTTCTTCCACAGTTTTAGCTCTGATATACTCGTTTCTAAACCTGTCCATAGTTCCCACTCCTTATGAACATTTTAATATCATCAGTTCTGTCTCCTGTATTTTTCTCAGTGCCACCATCTCCAAACCATAAATCACAGCAGGTCTCGCTGCCATCTTGTAAACCTTCCTTTTCACTCTTGCTCATCTCCATCCACGCCACCTTGTCTGCACTCTTTTCTTCACGTCTCGTCTGCACTGTGCGCCTCTCCAGCTCAATTAAAATAATAATAATAATAATAATAATAATAATAATACATAAAGAATAAACTGTTTGTCTTTACTCCACAGAGCGTCCCTCAGTGTCTCTCCTCCAGAAGTCTTCCTCCTCTCCAGTCACCTGCCACGCTACAGGTTTCTATCCTAACAGAGCCGAGATGATCTGGAAAAAAGATGGAGTGGAGCTTCATGACGGTGTGCACAAAGGAGAGATTCTCACCAACAATGACGGGACCTTCCAGATGAGTGTTGACCTGGATGTCTCATCAGTCAAACCTGAAGACTGGCACAGATACAGATGTGTGTTTCAGCTCTCTGGTGTGAACGAGGACATCGTCACCAGACTGGACAAAGCAGTGATCAAGATCAATGAAGGCAAGACAGGAATCAGAATGAGATGAATGATAAACATGGGAAACACACACTTAAATTACTGCAATAGCCCTGTAGCTCATGTTGGATGAGATAATCTGTTTGTTTAGGTTTTCTTTCTGTCAGAATAATTTTAAGACCTAAATCAGTTTAGACCAAGTTGTGTTTTTCCACCACATTTCTGTTCTCGCTGAACATTGATGAATATAAAACATGTTCATGTGTGGCGACTGTTAAGCAATTATAATCTCTGTAGTTACCTGATGATTGGACAGTTTTAGAAGATTTCATAGTTAAATGGGGGAAAATGTATATTTTGAAACATTGCTACGCTCAAATTTATTGGCAATGTATTGAAATTAAATTTAATGTCCTAACTTTTATTGTTAGAATGAAAACAAACATTAGTGGGACAAACATGTAGTGACCATAAACGAAGCTCTTGTACATGATTGTTATCTGATTGGAAACTTTTTGTTCTCACCTTTTGTTTGTTCTGTGATCCACAGGAAATTCCTTCTCCCTGATCATCCCTGTTGTTGTTGCTGTGGTTGTTCTTGCTGTCATCGCTGTGATCGCATTCATTATTTACAAAAAGAAGACAGGTGAGAAACAAAAACGTATTTACTTTTTTCTGCATCGTCTTTCTTTTTTTTACACCTGAGCTACAGTTTGGGTGTCAGGGAACAAAATAACCACCAACTAAGTTATTGGAACCCAAACATTGCTTCTCTTTTCTTAACCATCAACTCTGCCAAACAAACACAACCAAGGCACACCTTTACCTGCATTAGAAAGGAGTTCCTTCTCCAGCTTCCTCCTCAGACACGATCGTTTCAGTTGCTTTACTCACAAAAATTATTTAGCTTTTTTTTTTCTTAGCAGCCAGGTTTCTCTTTCAGAACAGCATTCCCAAAGTTATTTTCTTATTTGATTCTTTTGTTTTATTTTATTACAGGTTTTGACAGTAAGCTCATTATAAAAACTGCCTGAGAGTATAAAATGATTCTGATTCAATAATATATAGATTCAAGAGCTTTATTGTCAGTACAGTAGTACACACAGTATACAGTGTACCGAAATGCTGTTTCACCCTAAGCCCCCCATGGTGCAAATATATAAAGGATATATCTCCAAGAGATATAAAACTAGGAATTACATAAATAACATGCTAAGTTTCGGTAAAATTAAGGGATAAAAAGGTACTAATTACTAACTATACAATTCTATACAACACTATAATGGTAACTATACAATATTAACTTCACGATAAACAAAGACAGGACAGAGACAATACAAAGTGGAATGTGCTGTAGGTATTGAATACCAGATTCAAGTTATTGTCATGATATTATTAACGAGACAAGACGAAGACATGTGCAAAATGCAAATGTGCAAATATAATATAATTTAGATGTGTGTTCAGAACTATGTGACTGAGTGTGTAAATAAGCATATTGCTCCCAGGTCCAGTTTGTAGTGGATTTGTGGAAGTTTTTGTTGTTTTTGAGTGCTTTGATGAGTATTGTAGGTGTTTGTAAAGGTGTATGTGTATATCAGTCATTTTGTGGTAGTGAGTTGAGGTCTCTGACTGCTTGAGGGAAGAAGCTCTTGCAGTGTCTGGTCGTTACAGTTTTGATGCTGTGAAACTTTCTGCCAGATGGAAGGAGGGAGAACAGAGCATGTGAGGGGTGGAAACTGTCCTTCACTATGCTGTTCGCATGTCAGATGAGACGGAGAAAAACACATTAATAAGTACAATTGACTAGAATTGTACATGAGCATATTTTGTGTGCAAGATCAGAATATATCTATAAACACATTAGTGAGTAAGCCCACTGTCTGTTTTTAACTTTACAAATTAAGTTAATCCAGATTGCAAAATGAAAATATCAAATTATGTTTCCTGCCTTGAATAATACGTGAAAAAAATGTGTGAACATTTATAACAAATTATTAAAATGATGTATTTTTTCCTTTTTATTTCAGGCAAACGTCCACCATCTCGTAAGTTAAACTTTGTCCCTTTTCTCTAATCTCTTGTCCACACTAAATTAAAAAGGGTTTCTGTACTTTAATCTAAACAGTCTTTCAGGGCTGTTTCCTGTTGTGTTCGATTGTTGTAAAAGTGACAGATGAGAGCAGGATGTGGACTAACATTGTGTTTCTGACCTACAGCTGTAGAGAACCGTGAAGTCAAGGAGCAAATGCTTCCTCAACCCTAAACCACAAACAGCTCTGCACACAGTGAGTTACTTCATATTTGTGTCTCATGTTTTATCTTTCTTTTAAAACTAATGTAAAATAGTGGCTGTAGTAAAGTCCTGTTTAAATATATCAAAAAAAGTGCTTCAGTATAACTTTAAATCATATTAAAAGAAAAATGCTTTCAAAAAACAGTTTCATGAAATGATTTAACTAAATTAAAACAAATGTGTTAATTCCCTTCAAAAACATATGAAGTAAATACTTGACTGAATCAGGAGTATTTTAGATCTTAATGAAACTGTAAGTAGGTTATTTGTGGATCTGAACAATCCTAACATTTATTGTGTTTCTTTTTATCTCTGTAGGTTTATGGATAAACCTAAAGAGGAGCTGAAAGAAGATGTGGTTCAGCTCATTCTTCTCCATAAACTAGAATTCATTGAATTGATTGTTCAAATCATAAAATCTGTTTTTTAAAAAAGATCTAAAATATAGTTGCAGATGCTGGTTAATCAAGAAGTTTGAAAATGAGTTGGCAAATGTTTAACATAAACATCATAATGGTGAAACTAAATTATTCTGGATTTGTTGTTTTCAGTTTAAAAAGAAGTCACTTTATTTGAAAGATCTAACAAAGATGTGACTGCCTGGAGAGACATGAAACATAAAAAAATATGAAACAGTGGAATCATCACAGCAGTTGTAGTACAATCATAATTAGGCCTTTGTATGTTCATCTTCACTCAAAAATCCAATAGTTTAGTGTTTCTGGGGTTTTCTTGTAAATTGTTGCATCACTCATGAATGCTGAGATTCCCTCACTCTCAGTGATAAACGAATCATAATATATTTCTAAATTTTGTACATGTTTACTTGTGTATTTCATAAAATTTGATTTAAAAGACAATCTTGTGTTGAATTCCAGGAGACCTTAAAAGATTTTTCTTTATGTCTGAATTATTTTCTTAATTAATGAAGATGATGTTTATTCTCTGTTGTTTGATTTAAGATATGTTTTGGGTGTTTTTGATTTTAGAGTTTAGTTCAAGTTGAGATTCTGGAGGGTTGTGTGGGTTATGTTTTAACACATTGGTGGGTTTGTTTCTGCTTATAGTTCAGGATTTTTCAAGGTTTTCCTCATTTGTCTGTAAACTTTAAAAAATTAATTAGTAGAATATGTATCAGTAAAACAGCATTGCTCTTTCTCTCCTTTTCGTACTTTGGTTGTCAATAAAGTCCCAAATAATCCAAATTTCTGTGACTTTTTGTCATAAAATGCACACTTAGGTACAGTTTCATGAATACTGCCTAAATATTATTGGACTAGATACAATATAACTTGTGATAGTAGCTCAGTAAGCTTAGGTGTCATAGTGATGCTCAGGCTCATTAAGTATCCTGTGACAGAGGACCCAACGCACAGCGTTGCACGATGGTTCAATGTTTATAGTTTTTTTTGTCTCCACTCTTGGCTGTGCAGCTTTGCAGCTGATGTTTCTAGCACAGTATGCAGCACACACCAGACACCCAGCAGGACCTGGGTTACTAGAAAGGAGAGGCATGAATAGATGATGGAGATCATGTGGGTCACCCCTCCCCTGCAGCTGAGCCATAAACCACACCTCACCACATACTTCAAGCGCCGGACTTAGACCGCAGCAATCGGAGCTAGCCTACTCCTACTAGTCTGTAGAATGAAAGGGAGGAAAAAGTTAGGCGTGTAGAGGGACTTTACACACACTACACAGGGCTGCCTTCAACTGCATGAACGCCGCCTGGCAGTGCTCCATCCACCCGACCAGATCTGGGGCACCCTTTCAGGTGAGATCAGTTAAGGGGTTAGTCAGCTCTCCAAAGCCTGGCACAAACTGGGGGTATTAACCAGCCAACCCCAAGAACTGACTCACCTCCTTTATGGCCCTGGGAGGCGAGCAGGATGCTATGGCAGCTGTTTTATCCATCTGAGGGTCCGCCTGCCCACCTCCCAAGTGGTACTCCAGATACTCTGCCTACCTCCGTCCAACCGCACGCTTCTTCTGGGAGGGTGGAGCATGTTTGCGTCAGGGACTCACATACTGTGACACTGCATTCACCTTGCGCTGAAACTTGCAAACTCGCGCTGTGTGACTCTTCTATTACTAACATTTTTAGCATTTCAGCCAATTACCTTTTAACAATGTGTCTTTTAAGGTCAGCTTCCTCTAGGGCTGTAAATGCACTGTGACTCCTGGGCACGTTTCAAAATGATGCTCTCTGAGCAAGGTGGAGAACACATCTACAAAATGCTGTTGCAATGCAGCAACATAGGCTCTCTGGGCCTGTGTGAGATTGTCATCATAATAGAGGAAGGTGGGAATTGTGGAATTTTGCACCTCCATCCTAAACCTATCTCTCTCCTTAACCAGGCTTACCAGAGAAGTGCTTTAAGCCTCTTCCCAGTCTTTCAGAGGTTGAGGTGATATATCTGTGTGGCTCCTCCTGTGTCAGACCTTAACACTTCATAGTCAACGTCCCCCACTCGCCATGTAACCACGCAGGGTCCTTGTCACTTGGCGAGCAGCTTTGAGCTGGAAGAAGGGAACAATACAAGCACTTTGTCTCCCAATGACAATTGCCTCAGGCTAGCTGCTCAGTTGTACAGGTGCTGCTGATATTCCTGGGCCTGGACCAAATTTTCTCCCCAAAGATTGAAGCTTTGCTCTGAGGTCCAAAACATATTGAATATCATTCTTAGCTGGGCTTGCTGCTGCATTTGGTGTGGTCCATCAGAGGTGAATTCACCTGTTAGCTCAGGTAAGGCATCACAGGTCTGATGGAAAAGCCAACATATTTGAGATTCATCACAGCTAATCACGTGAATGCTGCAAAGATTGATACAAAGTGCCAACTTGACTTGGTTCAACATAAAATTGATAGCAGACTGACTTGTAACCATTTTATGGCTGTTTAGACATCAAAGTCACTTTTAAGATGGCAACAGACTGGGAGAGGTCTCAAACCTGGTCCCTGTCTTTGACCTCAAACTGGTTAGACGTATTTGCAGTAATTTTGGTTACAGGGCATTCTCTAACCCTACTGTGACTGTAGTGAAAGTATCAGAGTAACTCATGATATTAAAACAGCAAAATCTGTCTTAAGTCCAAAGGCAGGGTAAGTAATACACCTGGGCTTCTTCTTCAAACATCAAAATGTGTTTTGTGAAAATCATCTACTTTCAATAAATATAAACCAGTTACTCATTATTAATAAATGAAAGGAAGCATTTTTACACAAGAACATATTTGTAATGATTTTCTTCAGCAGCTTTTTAAGTGGAATAAACTTGCTGCGCTCTGTAACTGTAAACATTTTTGATTTTTTACTTTCAGCTGCTCCATTTCTTTATTTTTCTTTTTTGTGTTGCAGGAAATGTTTCTGCAAGTTTATTAAAACAGAATTGTATTTTTTTAAACCTTTCACTGTGTGAATATGACATGAACATATCCTCTCATCCCTTACAGTCCCACTGTATTCATGTTTTGTCCCCTATCTGCACAGCAACTGACGACATCTCAAAGCAGCACTATTCTAACAGCTTTTTCAATGTTATGTGATTTATTATGGCACAAAAGGCCAAGAAGATGTATATTAAGTATATAGATTTTAATTTAGCTGCGACATATTCTTTAGTTTGTTGCTGATGGAAAGCAAATGAGAACTTCCACCTGGTAATATATTTTTAGCATTTCATGATGTTTTATTTTTAAAGAAATTATGTTTTATATTTTGTTATACAAAACATAAGTTTGTACCTGAAACTTGATGATTACATAACAGAGTCAGTTGAAGAAAAGTCTTTATTTGGAGATGTTGTTCTTTAAGTAAGTTAACTTTAATCATTTGTCTTTTAACCACAAAACATATCCTAAACTGCATAAGCTTGTAGGGCTAGAGCATTGAGATGTTATTTTACATAATGTAAAGTTCAATAACCAATAATCATGTTGAACACATATCACTGGATGATGATGATGATGATGATGATGATGATGATGATAGTTTGCTGATATTGGAGTAAAACTCAGAACATTCCCTTCCTGTAGCAATGGATCAGCTCAGACACGTCCTCCTTACACACCTTTATCCAGCCATCCTCCTGCATGTGGTACACTACAAAAACACACAAACACAGGTGAACACTTATAATCACATTATCCTGCATACATGAATGTGAAGACAAAAGATTTACCGCAAACACAAATGAATGTTTATAAAACTTTCAGACTACAGAGTTTTTAAAAATTATTTTCGATATATTAGATGTCAGAAAAAAGACTATGAGAGGAAAAAGAGTAGAATCAGAGACATATTTGAGAAAAATGAATTCTGAATTGAAAACTATGAATTTTTTTACAACAGCAACGTTGGTGATAGAAGTAGTATTACAGCACCACACACACACACACACTCCTTTTGCAATCTCCTGTTCCATCAAATCCCAAAGCTGCTCTATTGGATCGAGATCTGGTGACTGTGGAGGTCATATGAGTTCAGTGAACTCATTGTCATGTTCAATAAAATAAGCTTGAGATGATTTGAGCTTCTAAACATGGATCGTTGTCCCACTTTAAGCAGCCATTCAAAGATGGGTGCACTGTGGTCACAAAGGGATGGACATGTTCAGCATCCAATCTCAGATAGGCTGGTGTGTTTAAACAATGCGAGTTTGTGCTAAGAGCTCCAAAGTATGCCAAGAAAATATCCCCACACTACTGCATCTAAAGCAGCCTGAACTGTTAACACAAGGCAGGATGGATCCATGCTGTCATGTTATTTATGCCAAATTGTGACCCCACCATCTGAATTTGGCAGCAGAAATCGGGCCTAATCAGACCAGACTACATCAAATCTTCTGTCGTCCATGTTTGGTGGGCTTGTTTAAATTGCAGGAGTGACACCTGGCACGATCTTCTGCTGCTACAGCCCATTTGCTTCAAGGTTTGGCAATGCTGTGCTTTCAGAAATACTCTTCTGCATGCCCTGTTTATAACAAGTGGTTGATTAAGTTACTGTTCAGCTCAATATTACCCAGAGAACTGCAGCTAACTGAATTATTTTCTCTTTTTCTGACCTTTCTCTGTAAACCTTAGAGATGATTGTATGGTAAAGTCCCAGAAGATCAGCAGTTTCTGAAATACTCAGACCAGCTCGTCTGGCTCCAGCCCCCAAGCCATATTCAGAGTCATTTTAATCACATTTCTTCCTCATTCTGATGATCAGTTAGAATTTCAGCAGGTTGTTTTGAACATGTCTACATACCTAAATGCAGCAAGCTGTTGTGAGATTATTATACTATCTTATGCTACCTTATACTTCTAATCAAAGAATTGTTGAATCATTATACGGCTAGAGGCCACATTATGCCTTTGATTAAAGATTGTGAAATCATTACACTGTTTTATGATGCATTATATTGCTGAGTATAAGAAATGCTGTTTAATCACGGCCTTCCTTTTCTGATTACAAAGAACAGAACATACTGTGTAGAGGTTGTCTGCCCCATCTCATCAGGAGGAGATAAAACAGGAAGCCAAGGTCGTCACTTATATAGGATATAAGTGATATATATATATATATATATATATATATATATATATATAGATAGATAGATAGATAGATAGATAGATAGATAGATAGATATAGATATAGATATAGATATATAGATATATATATATGGCAGCTGTTTGTTAACACAATATATATTAATTGTGTTAACAAACAGCTGAACAGTTGTACTGTATCCTTCAAGGCCACTGTTCTGATTTCCTGTATTCTTTGAATATTTGCCAAGGTGTAGTTGCTTGCACTGTATACATGCAGTAAACCGTATATTTTAGTTTTTATCAGTACTACATACATACTTTTATTTTAATTAATCAAAGGACAAATGTATACAAAACAACAAACCAACAGGAAATGAAAGACTTTGTCAGACTGCATTTGGCTCTTTGAGCTAAATACTAACATGAGCAAATTCTTACATTGAGTAGTTGTACCTTTATTGTCAGAATCAGAATACTTAATTAATCCCTGAGGAAATAATGCGTTATTTACTAAGAAAGCTTTGTAGTATTAGCTAATTAGCACTAAATACCAAATATCATTGATGCTAATATGAACCACTGAAGTTTGTGCCTGACATAGGGTGAGGAAAGATTACCCAAGTTCTTTATCCTCTAGGGAACACAAATGTACTAACTGATCTATCCAGTAATTCAGATATCAGTCTGGCTCAAGTGAATTTATTTACTAACTGGTAGACCAGAATGGTCATTCTTTTAGTTATGCTATCAAATGGCTTAAAAAAAAACAACCCTCAAACAAACAAGAAGTTTCTTGTGCTCTGTGCATACTTACTGTTTACCACTCCACCAGAGTAGGCGTCTCTGTGTGTAGCATGAGCGATGCCCCGACGGCCAAGCTCATACGCCTCCTCTACTGTCATGTCTTCCCTGTAACCGCTGTCCACCACACCATAGGCGAAGCTGTTCCCACAGCCGGTGGAAAACATGCGGCCAGACAGACGCGTCCCATTATCATCCACATAGTACAGACCAGGACCCTGCAGAACAGACAGTCTGTTATGTAACCTGAATTTTATTATTTTAAAGGCTAAAGTGGACATAGTGCATTTTCTTAAAATTATTCTCGCATCAGCTGCTCTCATTAATTACCATCCTGCACTGTAACATTACTACCTTTTGATTTTAGCTCATGTAATTATCTGATATATGCAGTACTGTATATGTTTTTATCTTCTAATGTCTTTAAGATTGCACTGATGATCACCAGATTTTGAAGCCTGTTAGATGGTTTCAGAGTCACACAACATTTTGATATTATTTCCTATTGTAGATTATTTAATCAATATGTCATGTTTGTTGTGATATTATGTATGTTTCTGTAAACTCAACAGACCCTTGTGTGGTCTACAATCTTAACATTGTTTAGATCTATATTTGTTGATAGCAGAGTTTTAGGTTAAGCAAGTAAAACATAAAAAATGATAATATAATACTTTTTAATATAAGCTACACTGAGAATAACAGCTTGTGGGAAAAAGTATCTTTAGCGGCCCTTAAATTCCATTTCATACCACTTATCCAGGCTCGGGTCACAGGGACGGCAATCTGAGGAGAGAAGTCCAAAATCCCTTAACCCCACCCATCCTTCAGCTCATCCAGGGGGACACGGAGTCATTTCCAAACCAGCAGAGAGATATAATCCCTGCAGAGTGTACTGGGTCTACCCCAAACCCTCCTCCCAGCAGGACATGTCCACAACACCTAACATAGACGTACTAGTCTGATTTCTGAAACATGTCTGACTCCTTTTAATGTGGAGGAGCAGCAGCTCATAAAAGGAGTCACTGAATTTAAGGATGTGGTCATCCAACTTCTCGTGGATTCTAATCAAAACCACAATGGTACTAATGATGTTTTTACAACATAGTAGTGTACAATATTAGGCTCGGCTTTAGCTGAGCTAATGAAGTGAGACAATCATTTTTCAGTTGTGAATAGTAAAATCACACAAACACGCCCTCAGCTTACCTCTTTGTCCCATCCACAGATCATGCTCCCCATGGAGAGGCCCATTCCTCTGTAGCCCAGCATCATGTTAGATAACAGCTTAGAGGCAGCAGCCACAGAGATACGGTGGTTGTTCCTCAGCCTGTAAAGTCTGGATGAAATTACAATAAATTATTGATTTATGAACAAGTCATTTCACAAATTGTTCAACTATGTGGTCAGTCCAGATTATCCTAAATTTATAATCTGTCAAAAAAAATCCTCCATATAGCCCTCCTGATTTTTTTTTAACATTGTCTCTTTCACTGAAAGAAAGCCCTCCTGATTTTAAGACGTGCAGGAAAGTTCACAGGCGTGGAGCATATATTTTGTTTGTTGTAATGATATGAAAATATAAAAAAAAATGTATGTTTTTATATAAAAAACAAGGTATGTGATGACTATGTTAGTTTAATAAATCTGTATTCATTATGTTTCAGTAAGTTATAATTCTCAAAGGCTTGACTTGAATTCCACACAAGAGCCTCTTGTTGTGAAGTCTTAATTAAGCTCTTTGCTCCACTCAAACAAAATCAGTTTTCTTATTTTCATTTCACTTTTAAAGTTTCTTCTTTCTTTGTTCAAAGTCATAAAACATTCAAGGAGAAACTAGATGAAATACTTTAGTGTGTTTCCTATCATGCGGTCAGGCCACAATACACCATCAAAGCTGAGAAAAATCATGAAATAATTGAAGTCTTTAGGAGATAATATGTAGGACAGACCTGCACTCTTTGGCCAGGAGTCTCTCCCAGTACTGACAGTCTGCAGCACTGCCTGACATGGTGCCCAGCAGGTACGGGTTGATCTCTATCACCTTGTTCACATCGTTGGATGCTGCAAAGACATGAATTAAATGTATTTTACAATACTATTCCTAAAGTCTTGAGCCACCTCATTAATGATAGTGTGTGTTTTTCTATACAGGTATGCTTTTACTGCATTGGCAGTGTGTTTGAGATCATTGTCATACTGAACAATTAAGACTTCAGGGAACACTAGATGGATCAGCTGAGGTCCAAGCATAACTCTTAGGTTGTACAGATTTTTTAGGACCCGCTGCACACCATGCTGAGATATGCCAAGTTTTCAGCTAAGGGCTGTTTTGGGAATCATCTTGTTGGTATAAAAATAACACTTTATGTCAAACTGTGTTATTTATGGCATTTTTCATAGATTCAGCTAAAGATATGCAAACAAATTGTGTTTTTGGCTGCTAGTATCAAAGTAGCTAAAGATAAAATTTTAAATTAGCTCTTTTCTAACTTGTCAGTTATGTGTGGACAGAACATTGGTTCCCCCTTAGAAGCTTTTATATGCTTGAATGAGTCATAAGTCAATGTTAAGTGGCTTACCACTGTAAGCAAAATTTAAAAGGGCGGCTCAAGTCTTCTTTTACAGTACTGTAGGAAATGTATAAAAATTAAGAGTAACCACCTGGAGAAGCAAATCTCTACCCTCCAACACACCTGTTGTGTAGTATTTGGACATTTTACTGGAAGCTGCACCACCTTAATTGTGGCTGGACAATAACTGATTGGGTCATTATTCCCTTCGCCAAATGTGAATGCATAATGTTTCCAAATCATTTTGTGTATTTTAAGTGATAAAGATCCCCATTTACCTAAGTAACGCCCGGCTGAAGCTCTGGAGTCCACAGCCACGATGACTCCATGCCTGAACTTGAAGGCCAGAGTGGTGGTCCCGTGGTTCATTTCAATACACACACCTCCATCACGGTTACAGGACTTCAGAAACCCTGACGGCTGAAATGAAACCCCAAAATAAACAGAATGGGACGCGTGATCTGTGATAGCGCATGAAAAATGAAGTTTAATGTTTCTGATATTCTTACAATCACGATTGTTTATGTGATTCAACAGGAAGTAAAAACGCTCACTGAGCACAACAGACGCGTAAAATTTAGGCCAGGGCGCGTCTGACGCTTACGGCAGGTTTACTGTATTCACTTTGTTAATTTAACGCCAGATTTAAAGTCACTCACCTCTACACCAGGCGGAACCGCAAATTCTTGAGTTTTGCTCCCAAAATTGTAGTGGTTGGTTCGGTCGACGAGGTGCCTCTGTCTCACTGGAAGAATCTGTCCGCGGACTTCAGAAAAAGACTGAAAGTCGGTCACTTGAAGAAGTGCCATTATCTACTTAAATAGATAAACTATATTTTAAATTTATATATGTTTATGCAGAGCAGGTGTCGAATTTTCTAAAAATGGCGAAGGCGATTGACACCAAGGGTGATTTCCTTGTACGTGACAAAGAAATAGAAAGTGAAAGGGTTTTTAATGGTTCGTTTAAAATATTAAATTTTCTTTTCTTTAAAAAAAAATATAAAAACATTGTAAACAAGATAATATCGAGATGCAACCATCTGCATAAATGTGCTCAATCGTGACGACTTGTTTTAAACCAAAAACTTAATTAATCAAAATAAACTCTGTGACTGCAGAAGGCTGAAAACCGAACTGACCAATAGAAACACGTTATTTTCTCATCATCAGTCTCTAAGCGGAAATGCAGCCCTCAGGTTCACTGACGAACAAGCTCACTATCAATCATAAAAATATAGCCTGTTATTTACTGCAGTTAGATTAATATGCAGCACAGTAACCTGCTTTGTAATGGATCCTGTTTGGATATTAACATATTCAATATCGTTAGTTTTAATTATGTGTATTTTTATTTTACTCATTTTATTTCTTTATACCTGTCATGGTCCTGGGTCGGTGACCCAGTGTTTTTGGTTATGTACTTTTACTTTTTCCTAGGGTTTAGTGGTGTTCCCTCTGTTTGGTGTCTTCCCTGCTTGTGCATCCCCTTAGTGTAGTAGGTCTGTGTTTAGTCCGCGTCTCTGAGTCTGTGTCATTTCGTGTATGTGTTTCCTGTTTTATTTTGTAGGTCTCTGTCTTATGTCAGTGTGTTCTGTTTACGTCTGTGAAGGTTCTCAGTCATCCAGGTCATCGTAGTCAAAGGAGCTTGCAAAGAAAAGCGTCTGGACTTCTTTAAGTTACTTGAAGACGTTTCACCTCTCATCCGAGAGGCTTCTTCAGTTCTAAGGTCAAATGGTGGAGAGTCCCAGATATAACCCTAGTGGGAGTGTCCCCCCACAGAGGGACAAAAGGACCCCCTGATGATCCTCTAATCGCCTGAGCCAAGGTGTGGAACTGGGTGTGGGTCCCAATCAGCCAGAGTTTCGGGTGGGTTCATTGTGAAACCTGGCCCCACCTTATCATGCGAATTCCTGAGGTCAGATGGCCCAGGGTGTGAGTGGGCGTTAAGGCGTCTGGGAGTTTTGAGATCCCTTCCCAGACGCCTTAAGTTAGAAATATAATGTAGTATAATATCATATATTAAGCTCAAGTCCAGTTATTTACAAATTATAACAATCACCCACTCCTATATAATGTTTGTGCAATCAAAGTAAACATCTGTTATGTTACACTTATGCGATTTTTTTTTACTGCACAACAAACATCTTAAAGTAACTTTAATAAAGTGTAAAGAAAAGAAATTGAATATATACAGAATACAATACTATTCCCTTAAAAGTAAATACCACCCAGAGAGTGAGATGCCTTGGCGGAGGTTTGTTTCTTGTTTACGTGAGTTTTGTAACCAAGTTTTGTGAAACCTGGAAAGTGTACGCCAAAGTGCTTTAATTCAATTTCTGTTGTTTTAAATATGCAATTATGCTATAATCATCCTAGCGTTTGTATGTATACATGTTCCCTATCTCTTCCTCGACAAGTGCACCAATCTTGATGACACTTTGCATAAACATTGCCTAGGACACTGTAAGTGCCACTAGCTATATGGATTAGATAAATATTCTATACAAGTCCTCCAGTCAGATATCAATCAATCAATCAAAATTTATTTATATAGCACATTTAAAAACAACAGTTTTGATCAAAGTGCTTCACAAATTAAAAAAATAAAATAAAATAAAATAAAATAAAATGAAAATAAAATAAGACAAATACAACGCAAGACGAGACAAACATAGAAACCAACCAAATGATAATCAAACTATCTTACATCAAAGCCAGAGTAAAAAGATGGGTCTTTAAACGAGATTTAAAAGACTGAACAGTTTCAGAAGAGGAAATAGGGAGGTTGTTCCACAGTCTAGGAGCTACAATAGCAAAGGCACGGTCGCCTCCGGTTTTCAACCTAGGCTTAGGTTGCATTAAGAGCATCTGGTTAGAAGATCTTAGTGCTTTTATAGGGTTATACAAATGAGGAAGATCTGTTAAATAGCTAGGGGCAGTGTTATTTAAGATTTTATAAGTGAATAAAAGAATTTTAAAATCAATGCGAAATTTCACAGGGAGCCAGTGTAACTTGGTTAAAACTGGAGTCATATGGTCATGCATTCTGGCACCCGATATGTTTTTACATAGTTCAATTGAGCACCAAATGAATTGTCTGATTAGAATCATGTATCAGAATATAATATATCATAGCACCATATCATATGTTCTCTGTCTCCTAAACGTTGGGCAGGGGTTTGCTATCATAAATAAAAGCGAGTCAACTGACTTGACTAAAGAGGGTAAATAAGTAATTATAAAACCTGTAATGAAAAAAGGCAACAAAGGTCATGTAAATCGGGTTTTATTCAGTGTTTCAAAGATTATTCAATATTGTAAAAATATCTTCTATGTTCAGCATCCTCTATGTTTATAAAACCCACAGTATTACAGCTTGTTTATTAGACCACATCATGCTGAAGCAGCAAAAATTATGATGAAAAAAAAATTCAGAGATGTTTTTCTATTTTTTTTTTTTTAGAAACACGATTCGAACATGATTTACTGAAAACAAAGATGGTGTGTATGTGTTGGTCATGTGTTGTAGTTCAGGTCGTCTCCATCTTCTGCACAGTCTCCTGCACAACTTCCAGCTTTAAAGGGACTACTTCCTTTGTCAGGACCGTTGTTGTGCCTGGACGATATTTATACTTCATTTTCCTGGGACAAAGGTACATGGATAAAACATTAAAATCTGAGAATTTATAATGTGCATTCAAAGCAGATTTTAAAACTTCTAGCATATCAAAATCAGAGTTAGTGGATCTTAGTCCAAAACAGCATACAAAGTGTTTTACTAAGGTTAGATAAGAGTGAATGAGGACGAAACATGAGTGAAGAACTTCTCAAAAATTACATGTAAACATCCGTCTTCGAAACCATTCCAGAGAAACAACGTGAGCAAAAATATGTTTTATTTTTTAAGTGATAAGTTGAACAATTGAAAAGCTTTCTTGTTTTTCACTCTTTTGAATTACTTTTGCTTTCCATTACTTCATTTTCAGTTTTGTTTGTGTTTTCTTAAGTGATTTGTAATTATAGTTATTGTTTATAATTAATCTGCTGAGTTTCAGTTTTCCTGCTCTCCTGTGGTTCCCATGTCTGTTTAGTCTCCATTTTCGTGTTAAATATTCCCATGCAGTTACTTCCTGTTTTACTTTGATAGTCTCTTGTTTCATGTGTGTTGTATTTAGTTTAGTCTTGTTATCCCTGATTAGTTTCAGCCATGCATGCTAGTGTTTCCAATTTACCTAATTACCATCGTGATAAACTTTTACTTTGCACTAGTCTTTGTTGTGTTGTACTGTTTGTCCACCATTGTGTTGTCCCTATTTGGATTTTTAGAATTTGTTTTCTGTTTTTTAAGTCTATCTTTGAGTCTGCATCCACACAAACTATGACTGGTTATATGCATGCCTGTTGTCTTTGTACTGTGACTCCCGGTACGGTCTGATGTAGTCCACTCCTTGTTTGGTGATGACACAAATGTCGATGTTGTTGCCTGAGCCGAGGTCGTTCATGATGCCTGCTTGAATAGCAGCTCGTACCAGCTCCTTCGCCGGCTCCAGCTGAGAGAGGACAGAAGTCAGAATGAAACAGGAGCAAAAAGAGATGACATCAAGCAGAAGAACACAGAAGCATTCATCTTACACACTCTTTCCTCTTTTCCGTTTGGTAACAGAAACAACCATTTAATCCGCTGTTTGATTAATTTAGAGAAGGTTTAGTTCTGATAGCCCTGCCACCCTCCAATTTTTCAATTTAAGATGAACACTAATTAAAATAAGTTTCTATAAAGGTTTAAATAACTACATATCATTTTACTGCACAAAAAACAGTTTCTGTCAACTGACGTACCTCTAAGTCAGGTTTGAACCCATCCTCTAAAATGCCAAGAGCAGCCAGATCTCCAGATCCTGCATGAACACATCATAAAGTCAGCTGAACACAGAGTGTATGCAGTCTGAGAATGAATCAAATACAGATCCTACAGCACATTAAAATGTCATTTATATTTGTTAACAGAGTCATTATCTCTGATATTTTCTCATAAACTAAAACATGTTCTGACAGCTGAGAAAAAAGAATCACAGAAATGCCAACCAAAACTCCAATAAAAGATAATATCCTGTTGTTATTAAAAGCAGTTATATCACATACCCATTGAAAGGTAAGGAACCTTATCTACACTCCCGTACGGCCCCACAGTGTACAGGTGGTTTCCAGTACAATCCACTCCTCCCAGAATAAGATTAGCACCAATCTGACCGTGATACCTGAGAAATGAAACATGTTTGACTAACACCACAGACCACATCTAATGATCCAAACATCTCAAGATACATGTGTGTGCAACACTCACCTGTAAAGCATGTCCTGCAGTATGTTAACGGCCATGACAACGCGAGGGTTCCTCCCACTGTTCAGAGAATAGATGGTGAGGTTGGACGAGAGGAGGTCGGTGGTCTTCTCTGTATCTGCTGCTGTACCGGCTCCACAACAACTACAGACACAAACAAAGAGAATGTAGAGATCATGAGAAACAAAAAACGAAAACAAAAAAATTTGATAAGCCAGAGGGAAAAGATAAAGGAAGAGGAAAAAGAGGAAAATTGAAAAATTCTGCTTCAAGAAGCACAGAAACCATTATTATTTAAAAACAAAACAAAACCCTTATTGTTCACCATCACTATCCCATTACATTATGTCATCATGTGTATTGGTCTCAAGTATGTCATCTCTTAAGTTAAGATGAAAAGTATGCAGCTATAAATTAAATATGCTACATTTTACAAAAATGACAAAATATGCAGAATCACACTGAACAGTACAGACTGAAAGTTGTAAGAGTATTGAAGTATTTCTCCTCTAACAACACTTACTATATATTTGGAGAGATGTAATGGATCTTGGCACACATTTTATCGGCCACCACT